ATGGCAGTAACTTCAATTTGCCCAGTGTTGGATCATTTACAAACATTTCATACTCCTTCCATTTGCTGTCACATAAAGTTCTTTGAGAATGCTTTGTTTATATTCATGTATATCTCTTGTTTTGTATCTTAAGTAAACTCAAATTATAATTTAATTTTTCAATGAGATGATTGCAAGTTTTAAAATTAAATTAGATAACTTTTGAACTTATAATCATTCAAATTGCACTGAAATGTAAACTGAGGCTTGGTTTCTGATGCTCACTTGGCCAATCCCTTCCTCTCTCTGGGCCTTGATTTTCTCTACTATAAAATGAGCATGTAAAGTAAGTTCAGGCTGAAGGATTAAGTGAGATAATGGATTTTAGACTGCACAGCACCTGGCTCATTATAGACTGGTTTTCCTTTCATGGTCTCTAGTGTCCATTTTCCTGCAATTCTAAAGCAACTTGTAAAGTAATACCCAGCTCACACAAGTGTGCCAAGGCTCTTAAAGAGATGCTTTGAGATAGAGAGCTCAAAGCAAGCCCATTAACATAGCTGAGATAAAACAATCTCATAGTGTGAGCTGATCAGATAGTGTTTTGACATTGTCATTTTGTCCCTGAGTTTGTTTTGGTTGGGTTGCAGGAAAAAAATTAGATGTGATAGAAATAATCAACAGAAAATAAAACTGACAGTGGCTTAAACTACACGTGGTAAAATTTATTATGGCTGGACAAGCAAACTGAATGATCCCATCTTTGTTGGTAACACTGAACATTGCAAATTTGACCCCTGGGAAAATTCCACCTGGTAAAAATAATCAACACAAAATAAAACTGACAATGGCTCAAATTGCTCCCAGGGAAAGGTGGAATTGGTGGAAATAATGACTAGAAATGTCATCACAGCTGAAGCAATCATCAGTAAAAATTGGTAAAGATAAAAGATAACTGATGAGTCAAATCTTTCTTGTAAAATTGATAGATGGAAGTTTATCATGATGAAAAATCAGTGTGAAAAAAATCTAGAAGAGTTCAAAATTGTGCTATATGGAAAATTTATCAGGGAATTCAGTTGGCTCAATAGAGTTAATTCCTTAAATACTTTAATAAATTCATTAATAATGATATAATTCTGAGTAAAAAGTTTACATGCCAAGATGGCAGGGATTTGCAGAATTGTGAAATTAGATGAAGGGTTTGGACTATAATGACATAAAATCTGAAATACTGTAATTGAATATAGGAGTTACGCTAAACCAGAGAGCATCTATCTGATGCCACAGTCCATATTCAAGGAAAGCCAGACACAGGAGAATTCTTTTTTTATGTTTAAGACTTTTTAATTCAGTTTATAGACAATGCTTCATTTAAGTAGAGCTTTGTAGACTCTTTAAAATAACTCTGTTCCTCCCTTCTCACTCCCCCTCCCACAGTGATCCCTGTGCCACTGATTAGAAACCAGTGCCACAGAATTCAGATATAAGAAAAATCAGTGTGCCTAACATGTTTTAGGGAAGGTAGGATTTGGCTTGAGTTTCAAGAATGAAGAGTAAAGGAGGAAATGGGTGTGGCAAGATCAGAAGAAGGAGAAATTTGAAAAGAGACAATGAAAATTGAGAAAATTCTCCTTACTAATTAAATGTTCTTTTATGAATTATGTGACCCTCATTATTATTTTTTTTATGAAGGTATCATTGATATACATTCTTACAAAGGTTTCACAAGAAAAACAATGTGGTTATTACTTTTACCCTTATTATCCAGTCCTCCCCTTACCCCATTGCAGTCACTGTCCATCAGTGGAGTAAGATGCCACAGAGTCCCTATTTGTCTTCTCTGAGCTACACTGTCTTCCCCGTGACCCCACGCACACCATGTGCACCAATCATGATACCCCACAATCCCCTTCTCCCTCCCTCCCCAACTGCCCTCTCCCACCCCTCCCCTTGGGTAACTGCTAGTCCCTTCATGGTGTCTGAGAGTCTGCTGCTATTTTGTTCCTTCAGTTTTGCTTTGTTATCATACTTCACAAATGAGGGAAATCATTTGGCACTTGTCTTTCTCTGCCTGACTTATTTAACTGAGCCTAATACCCTTTAGCTCCATCCATGTTGTTGCAAATGGTAGGATTTGTTTGTTTCTTATGCCTGAATAGTATTCTATTGTGTATATGTACCACCTCTTCCTTATTCATTCATCTACTGATGCACAGTTAGGCTGCTTCCATTTCTTGGCTATTGTAAATAGAGCTGCAATAAACATAGGGGTGCATATGTCTTTTTGAAATTGGGAAACTGCATTCTTAGGGTAAATTCCTAGGAGTGGAATTCCTGGGTCAAATGGTATTTCTATTTTTAGTTTTTTGAGGAACCTCCATACTGCTTTCCACAATGGCTGATCTAGTTTACATTCCCACCAGCAGTGTAGGAGGGGTCCCCTTTCTCCACATCCTTGCCAACATTTGTTGCTCCTGGTCTTGGTGTTGGCCATCCTAACTGGTGTGAGGTGATATCTCATTGTGGTTTTAGTTTGCATTTCTCTGATAATTAGTGATGTGGAGTATCTTTTCATGTGCCTGTTGGCCATCTGAATTTCTTCTTTGGAGAAGTGTCTGTTCAGATCCTCTGCCCATTTTTTTAAATAGAGTTGTTTGCTTTTTGGGTGTTGAGACATCTGAATTCTTTATATATTTTAGATGTTACCCTTGTCAGATGTCATTTACAAACATATTCTCCCATACTGTAAGATGCCTTTTTGTTCTGCTGATGATGTCCTTTGCTGTACAGAACATTTTTAGCTTGATGTAGTCCCATTCAGTTTTGCTTTTGTTTCCCTTGCCTGAGGAGATGCATTTAGGAAAAAATTGCGCATGTTTATAGTCAAGAGACTTTTGCCTATGTTTTCTTCTATGAGTTTTATGGTTTCATGACTTATATTCAGGTCTTTGATCTATTTTGAGTTTACTTTTGTGTATGGAGTTAGACAATAATCCAGTTTCATTCTCTTGCATGTAGCTGTCCAGTTTTGCCAACACCAACTGTTGAAGAGACTGTCATTTCCCCATTGTATATCCATGGCTCCTTTATCGTATATTAATTGACCATATATACTTGGGTTTGTATCTGGGCTCTCTGGCCTGTTCCATTAGTCTGTGGGTCTGTTTTTGTGCCAGTACCAAATTGTCTTGATTAGTGTGGCTTTGCAGTAGAGCTTGAAGTCAGGGAGTGGAATCCCCCCTGCTTTATTTTTCCTTCTCAGGATTGCTTTGGCTATTTGGGGTCTTTTGTGGTTCCATATGAATTTTAGAACTATTTGTTCCAGTTCGTTGAAGAATGCTGTTGGTGTTTTGATAGGGATTGCATTGAATCTGCAGATTGCTTTAGGCAGGCTGGCCATTTTGATAATATTAATTCTTCCATGAGCAAGGGATGTGTTTCCATTTATTGGTGTCTTCTTTAATTTCTCTCATGAGTGTCTTGTAGTTTTCAGGGTATAGGTCTTTCACTTCCTTGGTTAGGTTTTTTCCTAGGTATTTTATTCCTTTTGATGCAATTGTGAATGAAACTGTTTTCTTGATTTCTCTTTCTGCTAGTTCATCATTAGTGTATAGGAATGCAACAGATTTCTGTGTATTAATTTTGTATCCTGCAACTTTGCTGAATTCAGATATTAGATCTTGTAGTTTTGGAGTGGATTCTTTAGGGTTTTTTTATGTAAAATATCATGTCATCTGTAAACAGGGACAGTTTAACTTCTTCCTTGCTAATCTGTATGGCTTTTATATTATTTATTGGTTTTAATAGTGGGACTGTTAAGCCCAAAGCAAAACCAGACAGACTACTCCTGGGGCCCAACTGAGGGCAATAGGAAGCCTGGAAAGTTTTTAGGTAGCAGAGAGGTTGGATTTGGAAATTACATTTTTTTGAAAACAGTCTTACAGCTTAAAAAATTGTGCTTTTTAAGAAATTCAGACAGTCAGAAAATAAAAATTATTTGAATCTGACACCTGTTCTCTAAGATAATCACTGACAATATTTGGGGATCCTCTTTCCTGAAATCTATGTTTATAGAATATTGCCTCAAACTTTACATACTTGGACCATTCTAAACATGCTGTTCTGCAAATTTTTTTCCCCTCGAGAATAAATTGTGAATAGCTTTTCATGTCAATAAACAGATTTATATCAGCATTTTAAATTGTTTAGTATTGCATTGTCTATACAATTTATTTAAGTAGTTCTTAATGGACATTTATGCCCCTCCCCCCCCTTAATCGACAACGTCATGTAACGACCTTCTGCATTCATCTTTTCCAAAGCGTTGCATTATGTTTTTAAGGTAAACATTTAGAAGTAATGGAGCTGGGTCAAGATGTGTGCCCTTTCTACATATGGATGCAAGTTGCCGATCGTTCTCAGATTTGCAGGAAGATCAGGAGGAAGCTGCTGTATTAGTTCTGGTGTGAGAGAGTGGCAACCGGGATGGCCACAAGAGTACAGACTCACAGGTGACCTAGCGCATTCAAGCCTGCGTCGGTGGGTTGGCACAGTCTTTCCTTTTTCCTCTATTTGACTTCTTAACATGGAGGAAGAACGGAGAACTGCATCTCCCAGCACTTCCCGGACACCACACTCCCTGGGAACTGTAGTACCGGGTCTGAGCAGGGTCCGGAAGGAGGGAGAGAAGCTCTGTGGGCATACTGGGAAATGTAGTCCCGAGGGGGGGCGTAGTGGGAGGGGTGTGTGTAATAGGAGGGGGTGCGCGCGCGTGTAAAAAGATTGGAGACGCTACGAACATCGCCACGCGGGGGACCTAACTTCCCGCACATGTGGTCTTAGAGGTTACAAGAGCCTCTTCGGATGGTTGGCTTTATTCTATTGTCTGTGATTGAGGCAGGCGCGGTCCCTCGGCGCGCTGCTGGAGGCGGAGGTTGTACGGGCTGCCGCAAGGCATGCCGGGAGTTGTAGTCCCGGCGCGCTGAGGCTGTAGGACGTGTCGCGGTGCCGCGCGGGCTCCTCCTTCCCCGCTCTTCTCAGCGGTCCCCCGCCCCTTCCCTTGGCCTCCTCCTCTCTCGCCTGCAGCTGAGCGTCCCCTCCCCCCACCCGTCGGACTCCTCGGCGGCTACTGCAGAGGATCCAGAGCCGAGTTGCTGAGGAGGAGGAGGCTCCCGGTCCCTGCGCGCCATCCGCCACCTTACTGGACACGGGCGAAGGAGCGAGAGCGTCGCCTCTGTAGCCCCCGGAGAAGACAAGGGCATCGCCGTCTGCGCTGCCGCCGTTTTCGCCTTCAGCGGCTCGCCGGTGAGGAGACCCCCCCTCTTCCCCAATCCCCTCTCCGTGAGCCTGGGCCGGTAATACTCGGGGAGAATGAGAGTGGGGGCTGCGCGCGGCTTGGGGGAAGGGGGTGGAGGTAGCGATGGAACGGCGGGCTGGCGGGGAAGACTTGTCCAGGCGCGGGCTGGGGGTGGGGTGAGGGTGGGACCCAAGCAGATTGGGGGGGGGGGGCAGCAAGGGAAGGGGACTTTAAATGGGGAATGACCGGACCTGGGACAGCAGTATGAGGGTGGGGGGTGGAGGTGGAATTTGGGAGGGTTTTGGGCGAGATGGATGATGAGACTGGAGTGGGATGGCTTTTAATGGGGGAGGGGACCGAATGAGGGTGGTGGATTTGAGGTTGGCTTGGAGCAGTTGACAGCTTGGGATCCGAGTCTGGGTGCGGGGCAGGGGAATGATTTCAATAGAGAGTGGGATTTCGGGATTGGATAGGGCTCTGGGGGGGTTTAATTCAGGAGGGTGGAATTTGGGGTGGACCTAGGGCAGGGTGGAGGTGGTAGGAACTGGGGGTGAGGGGCTTGGCATCGGTTGAGACCTGAGCTTGAAGTGGGCGTTTGCCATCTAGGGCTGGTGGAATTTGTGGATACTTACAGAAGAGCGTGTTTTACGAGAGCAGAGGAGGTAGAATTTGGCATCTTCCTGGGGAATGCTTATGGAGATTTGAATAGGAGCTGGTGGGGGTGGGACTTTAAATGAGGGGAGTGTGATGGTGAGCTGGCAGGAGGGGTACAAATTAGAAGTTAGGCCCTAAATGGGCACAGAAGGACTGAAATGGGGTGGGGGGTGTGCACAGTGGGATGGGGTTTTAGAACCACTGGAAGGGGCATGGTGGCTCCCTGGGTGCAGGGTCGATGTAGAGGGCACAGAAGATGCTTCTGGGCAGGACTCACTGAAAGAATAGTGGCAGGTGGTAAGCAAGGTTGGGGATGGTATCTTGAAGGAAAAAATGTCCCTTGGCCAAGGTGGCAGACTGAGTTTTGGAGAGGGAATGTCTGGTAGGACTGGAGAGGTGGTTGCTGATGGTGAGGTGGCTGAGGTGCTATTTAAAGAGTGGAAGACCTGGAGTTCTTGGTATGAATGGGGTAGGGAGGATGGAGAGGGGGCAGTGAGCGGTTCTGGGAAGAGGTGGGTTCATTCTGGAGAAGATGGATTGGGATAGCTTCTAAGAGATATAAGAGGGTTTAGGGGTTGTGCTTACATGGACAGCACTGGGCTATAGTTGGGAAAGGGACAGTAATCAGAGGGGACTTTACCGGAGACAGAGAAGGTATGTTAAATACTCATTTCCTAGAGGATGTCTTAAGCTGTTTAATCTTTTTGTTTGTTTGTTTCATTTATATCAGTATCATATTTGAAAGTAAACCAACCCAGTGAGTAAAGTTGGGAGGGGCTTCAGTTAAGGTAGAATTAAGGGGAGGGAGTCTTCTATTATTCATATATCATGAAAAGAAAGGGGAAGAAACCCATTCCCAAACTAAAGGTGGAGAAGGTGAGACTGGCGTGTGATAGATACCTTTCTATGTGATGTCTCTGCAATCTCCTTTCCACCCTCCACCAGTACCTTTAAAAATTAGTCCAGGAATTTGGAATTAAATAGATTTGATGAGCTTGAGGTAGTTAAGGGTGCATTCTTTGCTTGAGAACCGATGAATGAGACTGAAAAATAAGAGGCTGAATTTTTTCCTAGTCAGGCAACATTCATGTATGCAGAAAGAGCTTAGGCCATTTTTTTTTTCTCCTCTTAAAATTGATTGCCTGAAGACTCCATTTATTGGTGTCCTGGTTTACAAGGCAATTAGGCCCATCATTGTATTGCAGGCTGATAATCCTGAGATGAATCTTGGCACCACTGCTTTATGTAAACAGAAGACAGGAAATACGGAAATGTCATAAATATTCATTGGTGAAATGGTTTGGTATTGATGGAATTTTTCATTTGATTCTTTTGACATTACTTGATAAGATTTAAAATTGTTTCTGTAGATTGAATTTTCTCATAAAAAATTTCAAGTGGTCAGATGTTAATAAATATAGAATTTTTTAATTTTCGGGGGACATGGTGTTGATGTAGGTACATTGCATTAACTGCAGAAACAATATCTCCATCTATTCATCAGAAATTTTATTTAAAGCTTAATAAAATGGTCATTTTCATGGCAGAATGTTGTTACTGGAAGGTAGAGGGGGTGTGAATGGAGGAAACATCTTTAGGGAAACAGTTTTCTGGACTTAATTGCATTAACTATGATATGTTATACATGAAGTGGCTGTTGGTTAGAGCTTAGACTGAGAAAAAAATGGGAGGGATGTAAAGAGGATAAAATTGGCAGCATGGGATCAAAATTATTCTTTTTTTGTTGAAGCTCCACAGTTCGGCTCGTAAATAAACCATTTTCCTTGGCTTTCACAGTTGAGCACATAAAAATACCCAACATTTAGAAATTTTTGTAGTTCCAAAATGGGCAGAATGATGAGAGATTGGATTTATCCTTGGAATTGAAAGTGTTATGAGGAAGCTTTATTACAATAAAAATCAGGTTTGAGCAGTTACCTGTAATTCAATGAGAGTGTAGTCTAACAAATGCAAGCATTTCTTCTTACAGCTTTACTCTGGGGTCCAGACATTGCTTTTGTGGACCTGCAAGCTTGATGTAGAGATGGGATATTTGTATTAAAGCCCTAGCTTTTGAAAGCTAAAAATAAAAAGTAATCACCTGGGAGAAATGTCTTGATGGATTTTCTTTTTCTTTCTTTTTTTTTCCTCCCCCTCACAGCTGTGGTCACTTGTGCAGCTGAAACATATATAAAGTATTTTAGTATCTTTACCTCTGATTCTTCTGATATTCAGGTGAGAGGGGGAGAGCAGATGGAGGCATTGTTAAACACCTTGGTAGAATTCACATGCTTGTTAGGGGTCATGAGTTCTGGGTTCAGATTCCCATTCCACCGCTTGAATGCTGAGTGATTTCAGTGAAGTCATTAAAAACCATTTATGCCTAGTGGTAATGGTTGTACAACATTGTGAATGTACATACTTTTACTGAATTGTACAGTTAAATATGGTTAAAATGGTAAAAAAAAAAAAAAAATCCAGAAACTTTTATAAGGCTGTCAAGGGGAACGCTGTATGTATATGAAATATTTTTCAGTATTTATTAATGTTTTGCCCATTAAGTGCCAGGGGAAGTGAAAATGAATTAAAAACAGTTGTCAAAAGAGCCTTCACTGTTGTGGGAGAGATTTAAATATAGCGAGAGAAGTGAGACAAAGCTAATGTGGTTAAGAGTGTGAGTGGGTTCTGAAGTCTGTGTACCATTTAATACTAGCTGTGTAATCTTGGGCACAATGGTCTCATCTGTAAAGTGGGCATAAGAGAACAATTTTATGTGGTTGTTTTGAAGATTAAACAAAATAATCCACGGAAAGCACTTAAACAGGTGTTAATATAGTACACATTAAAAACTACTAGTTGTTGGCATTATTATTAGATAGGAAGAGAGTAGAATGTGAATAGCCTCGGGTGTCCTACCACTAAATTCTTGGTGTTGTTATGTTCTATTATTTATTAAGGAGGTATTATTTTTTGTTAACTTATCACAGCTTATCTGTATATTTGAATGTTTGCACTGTAGTCTAGGAACTTTAATTAGTAAAGCACTAAACATGTTAATTGTTAGCTTCCTCATTTGTAAAATAAGAAAAGCTGCCCTGAGAAGTTAAATGACTTGTTTAAGGTTACATGGTAAGTGGAAGAGTCGGGGTTACAGCCCCCAAATTCTGATTCCTCAACTCTATTTATATCTTTTAAAATTGTGAATAAGCCATGTGTATGAAAGTGCATAAAAATCTTCATTTAAATAACAACAACAAATTGGAAGACTATGTTTTTGGTACCCAGCTTAACTAAAAGGAGACTTCTAGTACCCTTAAAGCCTCTTGTTCGAGTCTCTCTCCTTCCCCTGCCCTCAGAAGTAACCACTTTACTGAAATTTGTGTGAATCATCCCCTTGCTTTTCTTTATAGTTGTACTGAAGAAGTACATATCCTAATTAATATATTTTTCACTTTTACAACTTTATATAAATAAAATCATATTTTTAAGTATTCTTCTGTGACTTGCTTTCTTACTTATTCTTATTTTCTAACTTTTAAAGAGCTTTGTTTCTTCCACCATTAAAATAACATGCTCATTCATGGCAGAAATTGAAAATTACAAAAAAGTAAAAGGAAGCAAAATTATGTCTATGGTCTCATTACCCAGCAACTTATTATTATGTATGTAAATATGTATATATTCTTCAATATATGTGTACACACACACGTGGATAGTTTAAGATAGCAAGAGGAATCCAGTTTGCATTTACGGATGACCAGGTTATCCAGATGTGGATCAGTCATGTTTGGAAATAACAATGGGAGAGAGTAGTAGCAGCCTTTTGTGAGCTGTGTTGAAGGAGCATCATTTTAGAGTGTTTTCCTCACTGGCAGGAGTTATTTATTTACTAGATACTAATTCTTTGTTATACCAGCTTGGTGCTTCAGGTCATGTTTTCGTAAGTCACTTACCTCTTTTGGTCAGACTGTGCATCTTTTTGCAGAAAGGCAGCCTATTTCGTTTATCCTCACCTGATTGTGCAGGAGGGTCTCTCATCTAATGTACAGAGAGTACCGCGAATAGGAAATCCTTAGCTATATAAGTTTAACAACCTCAACACCAAGAACTTTTTGCCTATGAGATTTAAAATCCAAATTGATAAATAATGGGTTGGAGCTTCAGTTTACTTAAACTGTAAATTGGGGCACAAATGAGGTAATACATGTGAAAATACTATTTTAAACTGTAAAGGACTATATAAATGTTAGGGATTTTTTTCTCTCCTAGTTTACAAAACTGAAATCAGGGCATCACACAGAGGTAAAAAGCTTGTCATATTTGGTTTATTGCCTTTCTGAAGCATTCTGCCAGT